TATATGACCTCTTACTGGTTAGCAGATGCAGTAAGTAAAAATGCAATAGATATACCAAAGATAATCAGGGATATTTTTTTTGGGTAGGACTAACAAATATATCTCATTGTGGCATGGAATTTTCTATTTTCTATTTATCAGTACTGAACATGATTAGATGGAAACAGCAATGGTGTTTCTATCAAGTTATCTCTTTTGAATCTCTCTGTTTATTACTTGTAGTATTATGTTACGAGAAAAATATGTTTATGACTTGATTGATATATTTTGTACCACATGCACCAGTCATTAGCAAGTAATGAAATCTGTGTGATATATAAGTAAATGCTAATTGGGTAGTTACTTAAAAAAGTGAAGTGGATGCATCACAAACCTGAGTATAAATATTTAACCCTCTGCTGCCGGGGATGGCAAGTAAGTGCAGGACATTCCGATGTAGAATTTAATTTATTGATTGTATTTACATTTTCCTTGATTTTCTTTAATTTTGTATTGCTATTGGCAATGGTAATAATATTATAGTAATTATAATGTCTTCAGTAGTAACATCAATATTGATTTTCAAGGAAAGTTGAAATCAGCTGAGGTCTTGAGGTCTACTTAAAGACTATTTGGTGGCAAGGTCATTGTGGAGCCATTTCACAAAACAGTTCTTCGGTGAACACTACCTTTCCTTGCGGCATTGGGTTAACTGGAGTTTCTTTCAGCATATGTAACCTTGACACCAAATTTTCTTACCAGTCAGTAGGTAAATCTTCAGCAGGAATGCTTTTGGTTGTGATTTTTTTGCTCCTCCTTGCAGTAAAATGAATATTGAACTATTGGCTTACCCAAATCTTTATTCTCCATGGTATTAGATTTTTCAACTTAAGTAACTTTATAACTGCTGTTTCTACCTCAGATGTTTTCTCAAATTAATGTAACCAGTAAGAGAAAGGATTTAAAGGCTACTGACTTTATTTAATGTGAAGTTGTTGGCGTGTATTGGCAGTCTCCCCTCTTTGTGCCTGGCTCATTTGATACTTCAAGCACACTAGGCACTTAATAGCTTATATCTCTATTTAAATCAAGAGCTTAAGAAAAATTAAAGTTTTCCTTCAGTTTAGGTCCCTCTACATAATTTTGCTCCTCAGTTCATCAAAGGCATTTCATAATTTTGTGCCTTCTGTGTTCAAAGGGTTAAATGAATGAGGACCTTGTTTTGGTAATAGACTAAACTAGTGCAGAGCATATGTCAACAATTATTTAATTTTTAATAGTAATAAATCAAGTTATATGATTACGTGAAAAATATGAAAAAGTGAAAGTGAAGATTTTATTTTTGTTTGGAAGTATTGAAATATATAGTAACTTGATTATAGGAAAGAGGAATTTTACTTGAAAATACAGAGTACGTCATCAGGTTTCTTGCACCTTTTACTGGGTTATCTAACAATAATATCATGATAAGTCTTAGATGGTTTTTGCACCAAAATACCAAGAATATGAACAGATATGGTCTGGTGGTTATTCCTGACACCTCCACTGATAGTAGCTGGAATAGGCATTAAAGGTTTCTACTTCTGTCTTCCAACCCATCTTTCTGTACAAAGAAAAGGGGAGGGAACACCAGTTTTATTATAAGCATATGTTTGTATACATTCAAATTATTCAGAATAAGAAAAATGAAAGGTATAGAAATAAAGAAGTGAAGAGTAAAGAAAAATGCCTATTTTGTAATAGCCACAGGACCCCCTTTAAATGGTCTTGTTTTCATTACTTATTTGTTGCTGTTGTAAAAGATTAGGCTGTATCTTGCTGTACTCCTTCTGGTGTAAAAAAATTAATTTTCTAGTAAAGTAGATTTGGTATTTCACTTGCAATGGTTTAATTTATTTGCTTACAATAGGAATATTCATGTCAGAGTATTATAGTAGTATTTTAGACTTATTGTAGATTCTCAAGGTCTCAGTAGCTTAGGCAGCATGTTTCCATCATCATTGAATTATTATTAATCTCCCAAAATATGGGTAACTGCTGTGAAAAGTTATATTTAGGACAAAAATTATTATCTGCTATATTTTATTTTGTAGGATGTATTTCCATAAGAATCCCTGAAGACATGTTATACTGATATTACATTATTGTGATATTATATAATTTTACATTAACAGTTTAGTGAGGGAGGTCTAGTGGTTAGAGCTCTCACTCTTTTCCTGCCATTTTTCATGAAGGAGAAACAACAAGAGACATAATCCCCTAATGTAGTGAGGTCATACACTGTAGTAGCATAGACTTCACCAGTATCTAAATTCTTGCAGCCAGCCTGCACAATACACAGTTTGAGGGAATTCTTTCCACATTGTAGGGGGGAGAGATAACCTTCAAGCAAGGTATAGTGGACTTCAATAGTGTGATTTAGCCACTGATACTTATTATCCTTGACAATGCAAAATGACAATACCCTCCAAATGGGCTGATTTTCTGGTAACCCTTTCAATACTAACTCCTTAGAAAAATAATCTCAGGATTCACAATGCATCCAAGGGACTTTCTGGTCCAGCATCTCAAAGGGAGAAAAGAGAATTAAGAAATTTTCATTAAAAGTCTTCCTTTACCAGTGAACCCTGCCTTATGGTGGCAAGTCTCATATGGCTTATCTAAGAGCAATGACAGGTTCAGACCGTGGGAGTAGGTTTCCTTTTGTAATATCAAGAAATGCAGAATTGGAAATTGGCTAATACTTGATGAGTTAGGGCTTTATCTTCCTGTTTTGTTCATGGCATCAGTACTATCAGTGTTGGGCTGCTTTGGCACTGTCAGAGTCTGATAAATCAAGGGTGATGTTGCTAGCCATGAAATCATCACCTGGATCTTTGCTGCCATCCCTCTGACATGATGATCTGTTATTTGATGTAAGCAGCAGTCTGTTTTGGGAAGGAGACCACATTGTTGCATTGACTCCACAGGTTTTGCTTTCCATCATATGTTTCCTGCTTCTGGGTCTTCCTCCCATCTGGCTGAGTTCTGGGTTGTAATTTGTCTTCAAAGCAGCCTGAGTACCCTGTCTACCTCCATGCTGGGCTTCCTAAGGCCTACTACATAATTGCATAGTTTTGAATTTTGATACATGTAATTTTTACATTTGTTTACATCTTTGTAATGCATGGTATGCAAAATACATTCCACAGCTGCCAGACTCATTATGAGAATACAATCATCAGTTATGGAAAAGAGATAGGGGCATAAAGACATTTGCCATTTTATAGGGAGTCTGTTGTTAGTAGCATTAACTTAGAATGAATATATTTTTATGTATGTGATGTGATGAATCAAAATATTATCATTTTTTTGTGGTTAAAAGTCTGACTTACTCATGAAGAATTAGCAATTTTAGATAAAAAAGTCACAAAGGTTTGCATGACTTACATGTTTAATTTTTTCTCAATGTTGGTAATTTAATTTTAGCCAAAAGTCATACTTCACAACCAACAATATGTATATATGTATATATATATACATATATACATACATACATACATATACACACATATACATACATACATATACGTACATATACATATACGTACATATACATACATATACGTACATATACGTACATAACATTAAGAGATTAAGATATTTGCAATGAATAAGGTCTCCTTATTTTCTTGCATGGATATAGGAACTGGAGGTTTATGAATATGTATCTGTAGAATGTGAATATGCCTAAAGGGTATTCAGGATGATGTTGCTTATTTTCTGAATATTGTCTGTGATTAAGAATTTTTTGGCATATATACCTCTACAGCAAGTGTAATATGTAGCACAGACTAAAGTGAGAATTTATATACAATAGCCAATGAGATTTTTATACAGTTGGACAGAACAAGATGATCAAATTCAAATTCAAACAGTTGATTTAGCCATATACAAATTATGCAAGACTAATAGACATGGTGTCTTCATTTTCTGGTTGAGCCTGTTGAGAGTCCATTATTATACCTAAGGGATTCTTAGTGTAAGTAGTTAAACATTTACCCTGTGGAGTTTGTTGAGTAGAATATGTAGGTTTTATATTTAAATGAGTTTAGATATTTTATATTTATTAACAACTTACCAACATTTCTCTATTTATATAACCATTGTATCATATACAAAACATACCATAATATGTCATTTTACAGCTATATGATTTTCATAAATGAAATGAACACTTAAAGGTAATATTGTAATATCATAGAAGGAAGGGCAGGAGAAAGAGCGGGAAAAAAGGAAAGATGAGAAAAGAAAGAGGAGAGTCTAGAGGGAAGAGTGGAGGAGGGGGTAGGAAGAAGGGAGGCAGATGAATGATCATTGGCGACATAACAGCAAGATAGATAGGAAGACAGGTGATACAGAAAGAGGGTAAAGCTTGGGAGAGGTCAGAATAAGGATTTACTGTTATATATCTGATGTGGAATGATAGGAGTGAGCAATAGTAGTAGTATTTCAGTAATTGTGCAGGATCCTGGGTTGGACTCTATGTGTTGGTTTGATTTACACATATAATTTGTCTGTGTCTCACAATACTGACCTGTAACGTAATTTATTGCTCATATACATTCTTTGTTTTAATCCCATGCTTTTCAGTAATTTTGAGGTCTAATTCTTTCATATTTTGGTTAGGCATGTGACTTTTTAATCCCTGCTGCTTTGATTATTGTCTTGAATGAGAGTGTTAGTGATTTACATATTTGCCAATAGGACATGCATATACATAGAAAATGTGATGTGAGGGGTAAATATATATTTCTAGTAATCTGATCATACAAAGTACAAAATCGTTTTGGAACTTCATAGGAACTTCAAATACATAACAGTTTGACAATTTAGGTTAGGTAAAATCTAGAAGCATTCTTGCATGTTATTCATCTGCAGTAACATTTAGATTTGTCATTTTCTTGGTTTCCCAGTTAATAAAGGGGAAATTGAAGGCATGTAGTATGAAAATTATGTGTATTTCCCTTTTAGGCTTAATATAAGCACAACAATATTTAAAGTTTCACTGAAAAGAGCTCTGTAGGCAAATTATTTTTTTTTATACAAATAACAACGTTTTGGTTCTCATATGTCATTATTCCAAGTACTTCCATTGTATCATTTGAGTCTTTTATTTCATTGTCTATTTTTGTTGCTAGATCATTTCTGATATAAAGCAGTATTTTTTAGTTCATTCCTATTTTGTATTATTGTCTCAATCCCATAAATGATTATATCTTCATTTTTAATGTCTTAATCTTATGTATTTCTGTAATAGCTGTCTATACTTATTGTTGATAGTATTAATGCACTCTGTTTTTGCCTGGTTTTCTGTTCACTTTCCTTTGTAGTTTTCCTATGAAACTTCATTGAACATTTCAGTATTTTCCTATGAAGCCTTTTACCATCTTATTTATGTTATCTTTCAGGAATTTTAGGTCATTTTAGTTTAGGTGTGTTGCTTTCCCATATTCTTAATTTCTTAAAACTTTTACTTTGTTCTTCCATGATGCTACAATTTGTTCACTCAGACATTTTATTCCAATTTTTTCAGGCTCACCTAGTTATTCAAAGATGATGCTTTCTGACAGTTTTCTCTGCCATCTGATTTTGCTTTAAATTCAGTAGGTCACTTATTTTCAGCTCCTGAACCTATATCCATTGCTCTTCTTAACCCAATAGAGCCAGAAACATGTAATGCTCACTGTAGTTTTGTTTTGTGAAGTGTGCTTACTCATAGACAGATTTACAAGTGCTCAGCCAGCTAGAAGTCAGTTTGATTTTTGGGGATTTTTTCTTCTGCTAATGCTGATAATATTGATGCTGTGATTGTTATTATTGACATTATAATAATCCTATTGTTGTTAACAATACTAGTAGCAATATAAAACAAAAAAGAATATTTAAAAAAAAATCAAGGAAAAGCATGAACAGGTGAGAGATGGTACTAGTAATTGACTCCTTGGGGACTAAGCACTTGTGGAACCCTATATGTGCCAAGATAATTATTAAACTAAACTCAGTGGGCATATGTATGTACATGCCATTTCTGGTGACAATTGATTAATATCCCTTTTTTCAGTCAATATAGAAATTCTCACATATGTTATTTTTCAATGCTTATTATTATTATTATTATTTTTTTTTTATACAAATAACAACGTTTTGGTTCTCATATGTCATTATTCCAAGTACTTCCATTGTATCATTTGAGTCTTTTATTTCATTGTCTATTTTTGTTGCTAGATCATTTCTGATATAAAGCAGTATTTTTTAGTTCATTCCTATTTTGTATTATTGTCTCAATCCCATAAATGATTAGATCTTCATTTTTAATGTCTTAATCTTATGTATTTCTGTAATAGCTGTCTATAACTTATTGTTGATAGTATTAATGCACTCTGTTTTTGCCTGGTTTTCTGTTCACTTTCCTTTGTAGTTTTCCTATGAAACTTCATTGAACATTTCAGTATTTTCCTATGAAGCCTTTTACCATCTTATTTATGTTATCTTTCAGGAATTTTAGGTCATTTTAGTTTAGGTGTGTTGCTTTCCCATATTCTTAATTTCTTAAAACTTTTACTTTGTTCTTCCATGATGCTACAATTTGTTCACTCAGACATTTTATTCCAATTTTTTCAGGCTCACCTAGTTATTCAAAGATGATGCTTTCTGACAGTTTTCTCTGCCATCTGATTTTGCTTTAAATTCAGTAGGTCACTTATTTTCAGCTCCTGAACCTATATCCATTGCTCTTCTTAACCCAATAGAGCCAGAAACATGTAATGCTCACTGTAGTTTTGTTTTGTGAAGTGTGCTTACTCATAGACAGATTTACAAGTGCTCAGCCAGCTAGAAGTCAGTTTGATTTTTGGGGATTTTTTCTTCTGCTAATGCTGATAATATTGATGCTGTGATTGTTATCATTGACATTATAATAATCCTATTGTTGTTAACAATACTAGTAGCAATATAAAACAAAAAAGAATATTTAAAAAAAATCAAGGAAAAGCATGAACAGGTGAGAGATGGTACTAGTAATTGACTCCTTGGGGACTAAGCACTTGTGGAACCCTATATGTGCCAAGATAATTATTAAACTAAACTCAGTGGGCATATGTATGTACATGCCATTTCTGGTGACAATTGATTAATATCCCTTTTTTCAGTCAATATAGAAATTCTCACATATGTTATTTTTCAATGCTTATTATTATTATTATTTTTTTTTTAACTTTTCCAAATTGGTATTCTCTTCTCTTCTCTTTCAGGAAGAAATGAGAAACTATCCTTTTCAGATTAACATGATTTTTTTCCCTCTGAAACAATTATTTTAAAATCAATACTTGACACTGGTAAATATATTGTATACTAGATTTTATTGGTAATTTCCCCATCCATTTTCATATATGGTTTGGATGATTAGTTTTAATGTTAGTATTAAGCCACACTAACAGATTAACTGGAATTATAAATTAGTTGGTAATTTTTTTTTTATGGGAGACACCTACTGTTATATTAGAAAACAGTTGAAGTTGTTGTTTTGGAGAATTTATACTCGTTATATTTTGTTATGTTAGTATTTTATTGTTCAGCTGTACTATATAGCTTATCTTAATCTGCTTAATACTAGTGTTGTATATATCATTTTATTGTTTTATCTTGAATTATCATATGTGATATTTGGGTTGTGTATTTAATACTTTTTGAGCCAATGACTATTATACAATCAGTATTTTGTATGCCATTGTTGTGTTTGTATTGTTTTATTTTTGCTGCTGCTACCCTTTAATTAAAGTGCTTCCTTAAATCGAACAAATCATTGTCACAAGTTGAAAAGTAGAAGAAGGGAAGAAAAAGAAAACCCATGCATTTTGAAAGATATGTCCTCTTATTTGAACATAGAAGCTTCCATTTTATTGTGAGCAGACTGTGATGATAATTGATTCTGATGTGTTTCTTCCTTGTATAAAATGGTAATATTTGTATTTTCCTGATGTTCTGATCAAATGGTTAACAAGTACAAGCTCAATAAGACCAGGTTCAAAAGATGTGTTCACGTGTTCAGGAAAACGTCCAGTTCTACTTTTTGAATGATGCTAATAATGGTAACATATCTAGTGTAATTCTTTTCTATGTTTTTGTTAATGTATGTAAGCTATACAGTACAGTAGTTGATTTCTTTGGTCATATTTATTGGCTGTCTGTATTATCTCAGTTTATCAAAGCAAAATGTAGTATTTCTTCACTCATTAAAGGAATGCATATTCTGTAACATGTTCATAGATAAAAAAACAGGGAATACAGTTTATTTTATTATCCTACAGATAATTACAAATTATCTCATACTCAGACAAACAGGGACAGAGAAAGAAAGAAAGAAAGAAAAAAAGTAAAATTGTGTGAGCATGGGGAGGGATGGATGTATTGGATGGTATTACCAGGCCTGATATCAAGACCTATGTAAGTGGTATGCTTATTTTTTACATTATACATAATTTTAAAGTTTGTGCTTGTTATTCACGCTCTCATTCACGCACTCGCTCACGCACTCGCACTCACGCACTCGCAGTCGCACTCACACACACGCACTCGCACTCACGCACTCGCACTCGCACTCACGCACTCGCACTCGCACTCACGCACTCGCACTCGCACTCACGCACTCGCACTCACGCACTCGCACTCACGCACTCGCACTCGCACTCACGCACTCGCACTCACGCACTCGCACTCACGCACTCGCACTCACGCACTCGCACTCACGCACTCGCACTCGCACTCACGCACTCGCACTCGCACTCACGCACTCGCACTCACGCACTCGCACTCACGCACTCGCACTCACGCACTCGCACTCACGCACTCGCACTCACGCACTCGCACTCGCACTCACGCACTCGCACTCGCACTCACGCACTCGCACTCGCACTCACGCACTCGCACTCACGCACTCGCACTCACGCACTCGCACTCGCACTCACGCACTCGCACTCGCACTCACGCACTCGCACTCGCACTCACGCACTCGCACTCACGCACTCGCACTCACGCACTCGCACTCGCACTCACGCACTCGCACTCACGCACTCGCACTCGCACTCACGCACTCGCACTCGCACTCACGCACTCGCACTCGCACTCACGCACTCGCACTCACGCACTCGCACTCGCACTCACGCACTCGCACTCGCACTCACGCACTCGCACTCACGCACTCGCACTCGCACTCACGCACTCGCACTCGCACTCACGCACTCGCACTCACGCACTCGCACTCGCACTCACGCACTCGCACTCACGCACTCGCACTCGCACTCACGCACTCGCACTCGCACTCACGCACTCGCACTCACGCACTCGCACTCGCACTCACGCACTCGCACTCGCACTCACGCACTCGCACTCGCACTCACGCACTCGCACTCACGCACTCGCACTCGCACTCACGCACTCGCACTCGCACTCACGCACTCGCACTCACGCACTCGCACTCGCACTCACGCACTCGCACTCGCACTCACGCACTCGCACTCGCACTCACGCACTCGCACTCACGCACTCGCACTCACGCACTCGCACTCGCACTCACGCACTCGCACTCGCACTCACGCACTCGCACTCACGCACTCGCAGTCGCACTCACAGACAGTGTCGATATTTTGTATTCCATATACAATGTTAAGGTCATTACTAGTTAGTGAGTTGATATTGTTTAATGTGTTACAAAGAATTCCTTTAAGTCTACTAAAGGCAAGAACAATAATTGGTGATTCCTAAAAGGAAAAATTCCACAATGGTCATCTAGACCTCAGAAATATTGATGCTCAAGAATGCTGTGCAAATAAAATTTCTCTGTCTACAGTAATCGTCCATTAACTGCATTGACACTTCTTTACTATTTACACTTTACAGTACTGCTGAACGTTCCCTGTAGACTGTCTTGGTTCTAAGATCAATCACGCAACAATTAGATGTACATTGAATTTTCATAATGTGG